AGTTTATCAGTCAGTCAGTCGACAGCGACCTCTGGTGAATTTTCGTGAGAACAGCAGGCGCAAATGGCACTGCCGAGAGGATTTTGAGATTTCAAAAATCGTACACAGCAGCCTCTGGTGGAACAAAAACTGCAAAAAACGTACCTCCTGGGTCGTGTTCAGCGCTCTACAGAAATGTATATACAGTAACTGTATATTTTCAGAATAAGCCTGGGTTGGTTTATTCTGGTATTGATGTTAAATGCAAGTTCTCATGGAGTTAATGTGGATCTTTTCCTGTGAAACGAGACACTGAAAAAACACTGCTATCATGAGCTGCTCGCATGAAACCATCACAGTGCTGTGCTTCAGTGTGCATGTTTATATGATTACAGCACAGTCTTTTCAGTTTGATAATAGGACTGAACCATACCGTACTCTCAGGCATCGTTTAGAATGAAATCTGGGCTTAGCTGGCAAATAATCATTCAGCATTTTATGATTATTGGCTTAGCTTGCCATACTGTTGGACAGATTATAAAACAAACAGATTACATAAACATCATAATTCTTCAGCCTGATTTTTATGCCATCCAAAGCTTTTAGGCATTTTTTTGTATATTTTGTGCAGAGATGGTATCTAGTAAATCATTATTCACTGATGGCTGGTGACCGTATCATATTTAGATAGGTCAATGCATACTTTCTATATTGATTCCCAGTGATAGAATTCAATTTATTTTTGTTTTCTGGATTTACAGAAAACCTGTTTGTTTAATTCTCTCTCACTTATTTCATGTTGACCTACAGTAGTTTTACCTAATGCTAATTTAACATTTCATGCATAGTTTAAGGTGGGAATGTCACAGTTTTAGGTACTGGTTCTCTCTTTACACAAAGTACACTCATTTTGTATGGCCCCCAAACACCAAGGGGCTTTTAGCTCAGTACTAATTAGCTGTGCTTATTCATAGTTAGTAAGGTTGTAGTTGGATTTAGTTATTGTGTATGATTATGAGTGCAGAATAAGATCATACTTTGAGTACTAATAAACAGTTAATATTCGATTCAATTAATTTTTATTTCTATTACGCTTGTACAATGTCAAAGCAGTAGTAGTAGTGTAAAAGCAGCTTAACGTAGAAGATTCTAGTAAATTAAAACTGGTTCAGTTCAGTTTTCAGAGTTGAAGTTCAGTTTAGTTCAGTTTAATGTGGTTTAATTTTCACTTCTGAAAGTCCAAACACTGTAAATCCATCGATGCGCAGCTCCACAAGTCTCAACCAAGCAAGCCAGTGGCGAGAAACAAACTTTTCCAATTTACGAAAGTGAAGGAAAAACCTTGAGCGTAACCAGGCTCCGTTGGACATTATAATTTCTCCTCAGGCCAAACTTGCAGAGCTGCAGTCTAGGCGCTGGAGACGGGAGATCTTAATAATATCATGATAACAGGCAGATAATAGGCCAGTATATAATATTGGGAATCTGTAACTAAATGTTACAGATAGTTTACATTGTGTTGAAGTTTTTGTCACTACACATAGCTTAATGGGAAATGGAAAGTTTCTTCAAATGTTAATGTTTTTTATGGATCCATCATTAACTATAAAGAACCTCTATTTTTATGAGTATACAGTGATACCAAGAAGTATTTAAACACTTCAGCTGTACTTTAACAGATCTGAATGAGATTGTATTAGTTTATGAAATAACGTACCATGTGGCCTCTGCCAACCACAGCTTTACTAAGAACTGACAAAGCCTGTTATGCCAACATTTCACAACCAGAAATTGCTCAAATGCACTCTTAAAAAAACAAAGGCTGTTTATTAGCATCAGTGATTCCGTGAAGAACCTTCAGTTTGTACTGTTTGAAGAAAATAGTTTAGTGTTTTTTGCAGCGTGGCGTGCTTCTCCCGCGTGGGCGTCAAGGAGAGGTGAAATCAAGTCAACTTTATGGTAATGAGCTATGACGCGGTTTGGCGGCAAGCAATCAGAATGAAGACGTCCACCACTTGATAGGAGTTCAGAGAACACAGACCTGTGAACTTTGGTTCCGACCACAGTTGTTCCCAAGGGTTTGATGAATGCGGTCGCCGGATTTCTAATTATTTACAATGTTTTCTTATGAGAACATGCATTGAATAAGCTACTGGCGAGTTACTGATGTGCATTAATGTTTATATATATATATATATATATATATATATATATATATATATATAGATATCTTTAAAAAGCGGGAATCTCACGCGACGTGACAGTACAAAACAGTATAACGTTAGCTGCTTCAGGATATTTCAGACATATGGACACATATTGGATAAATAGAAGAAAGCCACACCACACACAACCTGATCTTCCATTGTTATATGAATGTGATAAGAAGTGCGCAACCTTTTCACGCTAGAAACATGTTTTATGCAGGAATGTAACTGATATGCTGAAACGGCTCCTTTAAATATGAGATCAATGTAGCGAATTTTGACGCTCTCGCTGTCGGAGCTGAAGGCAGACAGCGTTGTCGCCAGGGCTGCCAGAGTGACCTTAGACACTCGCCGCTTTCGGTGTAAACGTACGGTTACTGGTTCTTTATATGTGATACTGTAACACTCAGACTAATAAACATCAATAAAACAGAGTTAAATTAAAAAACCCTTATCCAAAGGGCACTCACATATTGGCTGCCTCCAAAATCGCCTATTACTCTAGCAGGTACTACATTTGAATTTGAATTTACTACACGACCGTTAACAAAGTACATAGTATGAGTGTGGTTAGTATTAATGGAACTCAGACATACTACATGTGTCATTATCATGTGATTAACCCTAAATTGCTTCACTCCCATTCATAAATTATTCCGCATGGCATTATGGTATAGCGTAGCATGCATCAGTTGCGCACTTCAGAATCTTGCAGGAAGAAGTTCGTCATCTTTAGATGACCTTTAGAAATATGTTTTCTGAGAAAAATGGTGATGTGTTCAACACTTATTTTCCCCGCTGTATATTCATATCGCAGCTAGGTGTGATTATAGTCCGAGGTATGATTATAGGTATGATTATAGTCTGAGGAATAATCACGATTATTATGCTTTCGTTAATTTCAAAACACTACTAGTTTAGAAAATCACATGAAAACTCTTCATATTTTAAAGTGTTATTTAATGCTGCTCAGAATCCAAATAATACAGCACAACATGATATTAAAAACAAACAATAGTCTATTTCTGTTTGGAGTTTGAAAAAAGTGAAAAAAGTTTTTGGCATTTAAACAAAAGTAAGAATTTTAGACTGAAAATAATATGAGGAACTGCCTATTTACATTTTGATATTAACTTAACAGACACCAAAAATATTGTTGTGTAGCTATGTATTTATATGACTGTCATCATCACTGTATGCATATTTATAACAAAACTGAGACTATAACATTACTGCCTCTTTTAATTTTCATTGAAAAATACCAAACATACCCTCTCTTTTGCTGAATATCAGTTTTAATAATCAATAATGGCCAATTAAAAGTATAAAGTATAATAAGTTTATACATTATAAGAAATAAATACAAGCAATCAGTCAAATGTGCAGAATCAGTGTACGTGATTACATTAATTAATATATTCACTTATTTTTGCGCTCGGCCAAAACACGTTACCTGAGAACAAGTTATAGATTCAAAAGATCAAAGTTGGGGAATATGTGGTTAGATATAGACAACAAGATGAATTAAATATCACGTTTAACAAATATAGTGAGGTTAGATCCAAGGGTAGATCAGTCTTTCGTGTACAGCCCTCATCGCTGCAGTGCATGCCAGAGTGTGTGTGGTCATGTGATGTGCGGACAGAAAGTTGTTCAGAAGCACTAGGTGAAATGCCAGTGTGGTTGTGGATCATTCTAAAATGCCGTTTAAAACGTATTAGTTTCAACGGGGTCTCATTGTACAAGCTCGGAAATTTAAACTAGTGCACAGTTGGCATATCTTTGTATAGTTGCAGGGGTATGTTCCATGGTGTTGAGAAGCCGTAATTTATTATTCGTGATTAATTAAAACACGGTTAATAGTGAAATAGGTTAATCGTTGCATCTCTAATTGCAGCAAAACAAAATATCACAATGTCAGATTTTTTTTTATTTCTTGTAGCCCTAATATATAGTGTAGAGCAGTGGTAGGGAACCCATGGCTCGCGAAACACATATGGCTCTTTGACCAAATATACATGGCTCTCCTGCTGTCTCCATTCAATAATGTTTTATAACAGTTTAAAACATTTACAACAGTCACCAGAAATCAGTTTCTGATTGAAAATACAATTATAAATCCCTTTTTAATTGTAATTTTTTTGAGCAAAATGAATAAGAATTCAGTTAACAATTTTAAAAACGTTTCAAGCAATCCACGTGTGCGGCACTATGGATAAACTTGAATTGCGACCCCAATAAAGAGCAAACAACTTTTTACGGTAATCTTCTCGTGTATGTAAATTCAAACAACATCCATGAGAGGTGATGGCGAAAAGAAAAACATTCTCTAAATTGGCCCTTTTTTCATTCGTGGACCTGCTCAACATGTGACGCTTCATATTTGTTTATTTTTGAGTTGTGCATGGACATGCATAGACATGAAGCTTTTGTTTAAACCTGTATTGTAATGTAGAGTAGTAATCTATCATCTTCACCATGTCTACATGCCTCAATGCATTGAGTTGCTGGCAAGTGATAGGCTGATTACAAATTTGTGTTAAGGAGGATTGGACAGGTGTACCTAATAAAGTGGCCGGTGGCTCTTTAAAATTTATTTGCTAAAAAAAATTATAAATGGCTCTTTGATGAAAAAAGGTTCCTGAGCCCTGGTGTTGAGGTATGCGATTTCAGACACAGCCAATAACTACCCCTGAAGCACATTTGGTTTGACTTTTTTTGTCTTTCTGTAAATTAAAGTTGCGTTTCAATGTCAATCTGTGTGTTCTGTGTGATATTAAGAAGTGTCTCTCTCTCTTTCTGTTCTCCCCCCAGTGTGCTGTTTTGTGGTTCACAAACGCTGCCATGAGTTTGTTCACTTCTCCTGCCCAGGGTCCGACAAGGGCCCTGCATCAGATGTAAGTAAAGTCAATAAGCGCAACACATCCTCATCATCCTCTCCACTTCGGCCTTCTCTTCCGCCGTCTTTTCTGGTGGTGAAACTCTTCCTTTGGGGTCTGAAGAGGCTTCTTCCTGTGACTAAGCAGCAAATACACACTCTTATTCACGTCGTATACACACTGCTGGGCGAGCAGTTTAAATATTTATTGGTGGTAACTGATTATGTACTGTTTATTGAAGCCGAACACTAATCATGTTCCTCATGTGTTTGTTTGTGCTGTAACTTCAAATGCACATCGGCTTTCTCTTCTCTAATCTCTATTTATAGCCTCGCTTCCTATATGTGTGAAAAGGAGGCGCACACACACTCACACACACTTCCTGTGCTGTTTTGTTATACCGCTGTTACTTGAATGGTGTTTGTTGCGTGTCCAAGAATCCATGCTGATGCATAGGAAAGCTTTGATTCCTGACCTTTGCACCATCTGGTATTGAGGAAGATGTTAAATAATAATTGAACCATTAACTTGCCTTTGTTGGATTATTTAACTTTAAGTTTGATTTAAAAAGAGATTGTTTGTACTTTAAAGTTTAAACGGAGGTAAAACATTCTGCTTCTTCCTCTTCTAACTGTAGTGTTTTTAAAATGATTTTTGCTGCACTTTATTATTTTGTTGTTGTTGTTTTTGTTGAGGGGGCTCTACATTAGCGCCCCCTAGCTGTAGTAGTTTTAAAAGCCGTTTTAATCTGCGGACTGAAAAACAGTGGCTGAACTTCTGGTAAGTTAGAGGTTTAACTTGCAGTTATCGAGATCCCATTTAACCATGCGAGATGTCACAACGAGAAGGTGTTTACCAGAAAATGTTTACCAGAGAACATTTTCACCAAATGATTTCATGATTCTCCAAATTTATTCACTACCTATTGATTTGTTATATTGTTATGTTCATTCATTTAGCAACCCCACCGTGCAACTTCACTCGCTGACTACTTTATTCGTTTTGTCATGACAGCCTACTCTGCGTCACCCCCTGTGGTTTTAAATAACAGCACAATGGTGAGCATGTCTAGTATGAAAGCCTCCACAGCTCGCGACTGTACATTAATCACTGTGATGGTTGGGTTAAGGGTTGGGGAAGGTGTAGATGTAAATATTTGTGATGGTTGGGTTTGGGAAAGGTGTGGACATTAATAACTGTGATGGTTGTGTTGAGGGTTGGGGAAGGTATAGACATTATTAACGATCATGGTTGGCTTAAGGTTTGTGGAAGGTGTAAACGTTAATAACTGATGGCTGGGTTAAGAGTTGGTTAGGTGTAGATGTTCGGTTTGGGGAAGGTCTTGGGTTTCGGTTTGTTGAAGGTGTAGACATTAATAACAATGATGGTTGGGTTTAGGGTTGGGGAAGGTGTAAACGTTAATAACTGATGGCTGGGTTAAGAGTTGGTTAGGTGTAGATGTTCGGTTTAGGGAAGGTCTTGGGTTTCGGTTTGTTGAAGGTGTAGACATTAATAACGATGATGGTTGGGTTTAGGGTTGGGGAAGGTGTAAACGTTAATAACTGATGGTTGGGTTAAGAGTTGGTTAGGTGTAGATGTTAATAACTGTGATGGTTGGGTTAAGGGTTGGGGAAGGTGTAGATGTTAATAACTGTGAGGGTAGGGGAAGGTGTAGATGTTAATAACTGTGATGGTTGGGTTTGGGGAAGGTCTTGGGTTTCGGTTTTGTTGAAGGTGTAGACATTAATAACGATGATGGTTGGGTTTAGGGTTGGGGAAGGTGTAGACGTTAATAACTGAGGGTTGGGTTTAGAGTTGGGGAAAGGGGAAGACGTTAATAACTGTGATGGTTGGGGTCGGTGTAGACGTTAATAACTGATGGCTGGGTTAAGAGTTGGTTAGGTGTAGATGTTAATAACAGTACCGGTTGTGTTAAGGGTTGGGGAAGATGTTGACGTTAATAACTGTGATGGTTGGGTTAAGGTTTGGGAAAAGTGTATACATTAATAACTATGATGTTTGGGTTTGGGGAAGGTGTTGGGTTTAGGGTTAGGGAAGGTGTAGACGCTAATAACTGTGATGGTTGGGTTAAGGGTTGGGGAAGGTGTGAACGTTAATAACTGATGGTTGGGTTAAGAGTTGGTTAAGGTGTAGATGTTAATAACAGTGATGGTTGGGTTTAGGTTTGGGGAAGGTGTAGATGTTAATAACTGATGGTTACATAACTTCAAGTTACACTTCTAACATACAAGTTGCGCCTCTTTATGTTACTTCCCTGTCTTGCAGTCTGCAGACAGACCCTACTCTTTTGGAGTGCTGCACTATTCTCTGCATTGTTTTTATTTATTTATTTTATCCGTACTTTAACATCTCACTTGCTATTCTTTTGGTTTGTGGGTTGTTCATTTACTCCTGAAGAAATTAGAAATTACTAATGGAAAAATTTGTATGGAACTATGTTTAATAGAGGTTGAATGTATTATGAAATTGGCAAGTGTTTTTATCAACTGATAGCATTAGCGTAGAATTGTTGTTAAAGTTAACAAACAAATAATAACACAAACATATATTTGTATTATTATTTCATCTAATTGCCAAGGCAGCATTTCATAATACATAATGCACAAATATAAAAAACTATTTGATATAATATTAAAAAAAAAATCTAAACTGACTCAAACAAAAGTTGAAAAATAATATTTGTTCAATAGATGTCTGTGTGTGTGTGTGTGTGTGTGTGTGTGTGTGCGCGTGCGTGCGTGCGTGCGTGCGTGCGTGCGTGTGTGTGTGTGTGTGTGTGTGTGTGTGTCAACTAATTCAAAGTATTAATGAAACATGCAATATTACTTTAGATTACTATTTACAAAAGTCATTTTATAGGTATATAGACCATTTTGAGGGATATAAACAAAAATGATGGTCCCAACTTATTTCCTTTAATTTCTACAACTTCTGAGGATCCAAAAATAGCCACATATTGATAATGTTATGATGATTAAGTTATGTTTAAATTGCCTCTTGTTACAGTTATTAAATAGTTTGATAACAAGCAGTAAATGTTCATGAGTCAATGACATCCGCACATTGAAATGGTCTATAGCATAAGTGTTTAAATAAAACGTTTAAATAAGTTTTGTGAAAATATCCAAATATGGGAAAAATTTGGTAATGTTTAGTGTTAAAGATAGGTTTATATAAAAAATTAAACAGCACTTGTTATTACCAGATTGAAATATAATCATAAGAATACATGGTAATAATTGTGTATGTATTTTGCTGACTAATGATCTGCGTGAAGAAAAGTGGTTTAAAATACCAATTAATTATCGTTTTGGAGGAGAACGTGATGTAAAATTTTTTTAAATGTGCATATACTTAATGTTTGAGAAATAAATTTGACATATAAATCAAATCTTCAGTATTTGCTTCTGCATGATGTGTTAATTTCATATTTTTAAGATAAATTTTGTGTTTGTGTGTCACAGGACCCTCGCAAATATCATTCGTTCAAGGTACACACATACACCAGTCCCACATTCTGTGACCACTGTGGATCTCTACTGTACGGCCTCATACACCAAGGGATGAGATGTTTGAGTGAGTTCAAACACACACACACACACATTTGCTTTTGTGAATTATGGGGACATTACATAGTGCTTTATACTGTACAAACTTTGTTAATTGCCCACCCTACCCCTAAACCGAACCCTTAAAGGAAACTAGATTTACGTTCTGATAAAACTCATTCTGTATACATGAGGGCATCAGCAATGTGCACATTTTTTTGCTCACCGCCTTGTAATGCATACCTATGTCATTATACAGATTTGTGTCCTAAGATGTCACAAAACACGTACACACACACAGAGAGAGAGAGACAGACAGACAGACAGACAGACAGAGAGAGAGAGGGAGAGAGAGAGAGAGAGAGGGAGAGAGAGAGAGAGAGAGAGTGAGAGAGAGAGAGAGAGAGAGAGAGAGAGAGAGAGAGAGAGAGTGAGAGAGAGAGAGAGAGAGAGAGAGAGAGAGAGAGAGCGAGCAGCAGCAGTGTGTCAGTGCACATTAAAACCTTCATACAGTGACCTCTGTTGTCTGTGATGCTGCATTACATAACAAACCATTAGATTTACTCTGTTGAAACAGGAAATGTACGGTTTTCTGTTTCTGAAGTGGAGACTTATGATTTCCCAGGAGGAAAAACTGCAGGAGAAAAACAAATTTTAAGAAAAACGGCTTTTAAAATATGTATTTTATCTGAAATCTTCAACTAAAAAAAAAGTAAAAGAAAGGAAACACTTAAGTGTATGTTCTTCATGAAGTATAGTCAGAATTATTAGCCTTCCTAATTTAGCCCTCCTGTATATTTTTCCCCAATTTTTTTAAAATAAAAATTTAAATATAATAATTTTCATTCATTCATTTTCTTTTCATCTTAGTCCCTTTATTACTCCGGGGTCACCACAGCTGAACAAACTTAGCCAACTTATCCTGCATATGTTTTATGCAACAGATGCTCTTCCAGCTGCAACCCATCTCTGGGAAACATCCATACACACTCCGCTCGGAAAATTTTAGCTTAACCCAATTCACATATAGCGCATGTCTTTGTACTATGTGGGAGAGCACCCAGAGGAACCTCACGCGAACATGGGGAGAACATGCAAACTCCACACAGAAACATCAACTGACACAGCCGAGGCTCGAACCAGCGACCTTCTTGCTGTGAGGCGACAGCCTACTGCACCACTGTGTCCCCATAACTAAATTCTAGTAACTAATATTATGATAATATTCAATATACTAATATTCAGCTTACAGTAACATTTAAAGGTTTAACTGGGTTAATTAGGTTAGCTAGGAAAATTAGGGTAATGGTTCGTTCTGTAGACCAGAGGTTTCCAAACTTTTCAGCTCACGACCCCCAAAATTACAATTCCAGTTACTCGCAACCTCCACTATCCTCAGAAGTGGTTATAAATATAAAAATATTGCACACAATGATGCACACACACCACGAAGCCTTTATAAACACGAGCATATTCACAACAAAAACTGCAACCGTCTAACTTCAAGATACTTTTATTCATAGTCATTTCTAGAGTTCACACTTAGATATTGCTTGATGCTATTAGCAGGTTTGGCATGCTGTCCCGGGAGAGAACCCTGAGCTCGGAGATAATTGAGCTCAGGGCTCACGCCTGGTCAATAGAGCATGTAAGGGGAGTATAAGATCAGGTGGTTCTTGAGAGCTAACCGTGGTAAAGGAGGAAAGGGGGTAAGGGGTGGATGGGGGGTTTCTTCGGAAAACGAAGATAAGGGAGTAATTTTTTGCTAGGCTACTTATTGTGAATTATAGTTAATCTGATTGGCTAACTAATGAATAGCCGCATTTCCACTATCAGGCCAGTGCGAGCCAGGGCTTATATCGGGCCAGGCCGGGCCAATCGCCCGGGAGGTTGAGCAGTGTGGCCGAAATCATGTCGCGTTTCCACTGTGAGGCTAGTAGCTCGCAGCGAGTCACGCAAACCCCGCCCCCAGAACATCACCCGAATCGAACGTCACTCAAACCGCCCACTTCAGCGAGAATCATGCAGATAAAGCACACCATCACAAAACTATTAAAATTAGGACAACCAAAACAAACAAATGACACGTTACTGTACAGCAGTACAACGCATGTCTATATGCACATGCCTGTGTGTTTTCATTCATCATATTCATTTACTCGTCGACCGACTATTGGCATCGAAATCCAGTGGTCTTCAGTGGACCCGCAGCGCAGGGAGCGCACACATCCATAATATAACACCACATATATAAAATTCTCCGTTAATAACTCGATATAAAATGTATTTTATAACATCCTCTAGACAGAATCTGTCCATCTTTCATCCCAAATGCTCCGGAGAGAACTGAAACATGATTTTTTTTTTCCCTATAGGCTTTATGACACTTAATAGATGAATCCCTTTATTTAAAGATGTTGCTTATTATATCTTAAGTAAAGGAAAGTGTTCAGTGTTTCAGCACATAAGAGCAGCACGTAATAAAATATAGCCTATATTTCGTTGCGCTCAGCAGCTATGCACTAATAAAGCTCTTTATGTATTTAAAATTTCCTTTTTAATTTTACCACGTTATATAAAAACATACACACTTGTTTGAGGACACAGAACACATTTTGAACTTGCAGTTTTCCCCGTCAAAAAAAGTGCTGCGCGGCTGCAGACAGAAAAAAAGGTCGCCTAGTTTCTGCTTTCACTCACCCCGAAAATGCTCTGTTTGCATGATTTGATCAATTTCATAGAATCCAAATACTTTATAAATAATATTTAAAACATTCTCCGGTGTTTATTTATTTGTTTATTTATTTTTTTAGAAAATATCTAAAATCTTTTTTTCAAAGAGGCTTTTAAAAATGAAAGTTAAATATAAATTTGAAACAGTTTGATATAGTACCTAATTGTTATAGCTATAGCTTTTGTTAGTTTTATATTGGTTTATTTATTTAATGTGATTTTATTATAGGCCTATCTGATATTTGTAATTCTTTAAATTATTTCAATATAGGGCTATTTTATCTAGATATGACACTATTGTTTTGAGTTTACAAAAGTGGACATGAAATTTGTAAAGTTTAATGTCTTACTATTGTATTTATATAGTGTATTATCACCAAAATAAATTAAAACAATAAAAAGAAAAGAAAAAAGCCGCTCGCGGCATCAACAGAGCTATAAATGGAGCGCTCTTTTCCTCGGTCTCACACACATACACAGACATCTAAACGCGCAAAAACACCTATTAAACTTGACAAAACCTCTTGAAAACCTTTACTGTCAGCTGTGTCTTTAATATGTGTAATATGGTGTAAAGATTATTATGCGTTATTGAAACATCAAAGATGCAGCAAAGAAAGATCATTTTATGCAACAGACTTACATTTAAAAGATAAACATAAGGGCGATCATATGCAAAAAAAAAAAAAAAAGACCCCAGCCTATAATTTGTTCCAGATGTTTTCTTTCTCTTATTTATTTATTTGTTATGTGTTTGGCGCATGTACTCGAGTGCGATTGGAAAACTGTGCCCGCCTCTCCTTTCACTCCGCCCCGGCTGGCCCTCTTTGGCCCAAGGTATTCGGCGGGCCGAAAAAGGCCGGCCGCTGGCCCCAAGAAAGCCCCGCTTTGGCCCGATTAGGCCCCGGAAGTGACAGTGGAAACGCCACTGGCCTTGGCTCGCCCTGGCTCGCTCGCTTTAGGCGCGATAGTGGAAACGCGGCTATTGTAGTCAAGAGACCAGCAGCAGTCAATCATATCTTGTGCTCCTCTCGAAATTAAGCTGCGGTCATTCTGTCATACAGCACTGCGAAAAGGGGCGGGATTAAACACTATTATTAGACATTTAAAAAGCAAGCGATTGCTCCATAATTTAAATTTCTATCCAGAGAGGTCATGTTTTGATCCTCGATTGGTCTCACGCAGCCAAGTGATGTGATTTCGCAGGTCAGAGTTCACCAAGCTTGAACTTTGCACCGCAGCAACCTGCAAAACTTGACGCATGACCCCGCGTTTCCGGTCTGACGCATTCGCGTGCGTATGAATGGAGGTCTGTGGGAGGAAAAGCCCAGTGTGACCGCAGCTTTAGTTTGTGAAACTTCACTTATTCATTTGTTTAATTTAATAGTTACCTCACCGAATGAGACTGGTTTACAGCAAAAGTTTATTCTTGGTTTAATTTTGGAAACCGCCACTGGGAGATCCATGTACATTCATAGGGCCCTATCATACACCCGGCGCAGTGTGGCGCAAGGCGCGGCGCAATACTTGTTTGGTAGTTTCAGCTTGGCGCAAGAGTCGTTTTGAGGCGTTGCGCTACGCTGTTTAAATAGCAAATGCATTAGCACTCAGATGTGCGCCCATAGGCGTTCTGTTCTAAAAAGGAAGGTGTTCTGAGACGGACCGCTGGCGCGTTGCTATTTTGAGAAACTATAATAGATTTTTCATTAGACCAAAACTAACCCGGACTAAACTCCGGCGCAGAGTTGCACCTCACTTACGCACTGCTTAATACGCACAAGAGAGCAATAGGCAAATATCTTTACATATGAAAAAATGTAAATATTAAGGATATATATATATATATAGAGTATAATAAGAATAGATATAGGATATAAATATAAAGGATTAAAATATTACAAAACATATTATTTTCTAGCCTACATAAATATGAAAAACCACTGCTTTTATGTCTTCTTCATCTCGGGAGGCTTTTTCAGTTCATTCATAACAAGTTGCTTTTGTATAATGTTATTATTATTTGCAGTATTATTTATTATATCCATATTTATATTTGTTTTATTAAAAACAAGCTTAGATTTGCCCACCTGTCAGGTTTTAGACCATATAGGGCACAGCATGTGTTTAAGGATATAACTCAGGTTTTTGAGCACATTTTGCTATTATTATTCATTTATTCGTTTGCTGGAAATTAGAACTGAATTTAGAAATAGTTTTGAAACGAATATTTGCGCTTAACAAGCAAAAGTATTTATTTATAGACTAATTGATGTCTGTGCGTAAAGGTTTCCCCGTCCAAGAGCGAAAGTGAAAGTGATTCATTATCTCTCATTCTCACGCAGTAGATGCTCTGTTTAACTGTTTTCTGTTAAAAAACTGTTAACTGTTACCTGTTTGCTTGTGAAATGCTCATTTTTTCTACTTAGACTTACTCTGCGTCCTGTAAATAGCGAATGCGCTCTTGGCGCGACGCAGCTGGGTCTTAAAGGGAATGGGAGATGAGACTCTAATTGGTTTATTCTTAAAACACACCTATAACTCATTAAGAAAATAAACTCAACCCTTTTAGACCATGCGCCAAAGCGCAAGGCAGATTGCCTGTCCTTAAATTAGCAAAAATCTATCTTGACACGCCCTGAAAGCATTTGCGCCCTGCGTTTTGCGCTTTTGCGCATGGACTGTCAAAATAGAGCTCATAGTCTTTATTGTAGTGCTGTCAAAGTTTAACAATGTGCTGTAAATGTGTTGTCTGTTGCAACTGATGCTATTGCTGTGTTAATATAAAATAATCACGGAATAGGTCGTAATCCAGTGGGAAACAAACGAATCTTAAGGCTGATGGGTTTTTATTCCCCATTGTTGTTTTCTTTTTTTTTTTTTCTTTTTTTTTAATGAAAATATTAAAACTGTTTTTAATCTTCTGAAGGTTATGGATAAAATATGGTAATTCTAATTGTTGAATAAAATTTCTCAGATTTTTGGAAATCACTATACATGCACAAATATAATATTGTATAGCTTCCTGTTAAAATATGAATTTAAAATATAGATTTGTAAGGAGTGTACTCGTATATGATGAGCACTGTACAGTATGTAATAATATATTGTTTTCTGTTATTTATTATTACTTTGTGCACTGCATGTGTAAATACAGCTGGTTAATAAGCTCTCTGTATATATATTTGACAGCGTAGGTGTGATTTTTGTGTGTCTCTGTGATCGTGGGTGTTTGTGTGGGCATTTCTGAGTAAGTAGTGAGTGAGAAACAAACGCTGCATGTGTGATGCTGTCCATCTAATCATGTGTGATTTTCTGCAGATTGTCTGATGAATATTCATAAGCGATGCTTTAAGCATGTTCCCAGCCTGTGTGGAACAGACCACACTGAGAAGAGAGGGAGGCTGCATTTCTCTGCTAGTATCACAGGCAATGTTCTCAGTGTGTCCGGTAAGTTCACACACACACACACACACACACACACACACACACACAAACACACCAATGTAAATCTATCTTCATGGGGACTTCCAATTAATATTAACTCCTTACATTTATATATTGCATTTCTGGACTTACATTCTTCTGGGGGAGAATCTCCTCATCCACCCGCCGTGTGCAGCATCCACCTGGATGACACAACGGCAGCCATATTGCACCAGACCGCACACCACACACCAGCTGATTGGTGAAGAGAAGATGTGATGAAGCCTATTATGATATGGGGATGGTTATGATGGACAGAGGCCAGTGGGCAAATTTGGCCAGGATGCCTGGATTAAACCTGGGATTTTTAACGACCACAGAGTCAAGACCTCGGTTTAACGTCTCATCTCAAGGACGCCACTTACTAGCCGCGTTTCCACTATCGCACCTAAAGCGAGTGAGCCAGGGCAAGCCAAGGCCAGTCACGTTTCTACTGTCAAATCCGGGGCCTGATCGGGTCAAAGCAGGGCTTTCTTGGGGTCAGCGGTCAGCCTTTTTAGGCCCGCCAAATATCTTGGGCCAAAGAGGGCCGTCATTACACTAGTTTTCCGATCGCCCACAAGTACATGCACCAAACAAATAAATAAATAAGGAAGAGAAAACTATATAATATAGCTGGTCAGTTTAAGATAGGCTATTACGCCCCAAGTCTAGGGGAAACGAAAAGGGCAAAATAAACGGAGAACAAACAAATGTGTTGGGGTGGTGGATTTCCCAAACTAAACAAAACTTAAAGCAAAAGATTCCCTTCGGTCGACAACCAAACTCACACACTCAATTGAGAGTATATATGAAGATATTTATTATAGAAAAATAGGGTTTATATAAACGAGCATTTCGTCAGGGTGACCACAGGCCAAAATAACAAACAAAAGAATCTATAAAATAAATCCACTAAATTACCTATTACTATTTAAAGTAACATACAAGAATCTTACCTGACTCCCTAATATAAACAAAGTCAAAAGTAATCAAATAAATAGGCAGGTCACCCCTACTCGCTCAAACTCTCAATAAATATTCAAGCATAGGATGGTCATCAATACAAAATTGATTATTGTTGGTCGTCGGCCGAAGGGGTGAGGGAAACCCAGGAGCTCCACTCCAAACACCGAACGCAGCAGAAATGAGCTCTCCTGCCGGAAGCTCCCTTTTATACAGGCCTCGTAGACCAGCAGCCAATCAGAGCAGGGAATCACGCCGGCGTGGGAGCCTATAAGACATCAGAAAAACAGCAAGGAGGCGGGACAAAAGAAAAAGGTGTACAATCCGCAATAATAAAAAAATAAATAAACTTCAGTCGTAACATAGGCTATTTCATAAAACACCTTATAGGCTAGGGGTCTTTTTGCCTATGATCGCTCTTATGTTTCCCTTTTAAATATAAGGCTGTTACATAAAATAATAAAGTTTTAACTTATAAGTTACTTTTCTTTGCTGCGTCCTTCTTGATGTTTCAATTACTCACAATAATATTTACACCATATTAAAGATACTGCAGCCAGTAAAGGTTGTCAAGAATTTTGGTCAAGTTTAAAAGGTGTGTGCATGATACGTGTGATAGACCAGGCAAAAGAGCGTTTGCTTGACAGCTCTGTTGAAGCCGCGAGCCTCTTCTTTCTTTTTTATTTATTATGGAGATCATACACAATATAAATTCAACAGAAAGACATAAAACTTTACAAATTACGTGTCCGCTTTTGTAGGCTCAACACAATAGTGTCAAATCTCGATAAAATAGCCTAAGCTATCTTGAAATCATTTAAAGAATTACAAATATCTGATATAATAAAATCACATTAAATAAGTAAACCAATATAAAACAAACAGAAGCTAGCTGTAACAATGTAGTTATATACAAAGGTATAAAGCGTTTACACATTGCCGAATACACACAGGATGTACAGCAATATCCAAATATCTTTACATATAAAAAAAAATTAAAGGATTGAATGTTACAAAAATTATTATTTTGTAAATGAATATAAAAACCACTGCCTCCGTACCTTCATCTCGAGGGGCTTTTTAAAGTTTATTCATGACAATTTGCATTTGTATAATGTTACTATTATTTATAGTAGTATTTATTATATGCACATTTATATTTGTTTTAATAAAAACAAGTTTATATTTGTTCATCTGTCGGGTTTTGTAGATGTTTGCATCATTTTATGGGGCATAAGAATAGGATGTGTGTTTGGATAGAACGTTTTCATTGTTCATTTATTTGTTTGCTGGAAATGCAACTGAATTTAGAAATAGTTTTGAAACTAATCTTTGCGCTTAACAAATAGAATTAAATGTGTAGGCTAATGAATGTCTACAATGAAGTGCGTACAGCACTGTTAAGGAGTAAAGACTAAAAGTAATCTAAAGAGGTAGAATGGAGGAGGCTATCACATGCTCGCCCACTGAAGCTAAGCAGGGCTGTGCCCGGTCAGTACTGAATGGGAGACCACATGGGAAAGCTAGGTTGTTGCCAGAAGTGGTGTTAGTGAGGCCAGTAGGGGGTACTCAACTTGCGGTCTGTGTGCGTCTAATGCCCCAGTATAGTGACGGGGACACTATACTGCTCAGTGAGTGCCGTCTTTCAGATGGGACGTTAAACCAAGGTCCCAACTCTCTGTGGTCGATAAAATCCCAGGATGTCCTTCGAAAAGACGAGTAGGGGTTTAACCCCGGCATCCTGGCCGCCTCTGTCCATCATGGCCTCCTAACACTCCCCATGTCATAATTGGCTTCATCACTCCTCTCCACTAATCAGCTGGTGTGTGGTCTGGCGCAAAATGGCTGCCGTCGCGTCATCCAGGTGGATGCTACGCACTGGGGGTGGATGAGGAGATTCCCCCCTATATGTAAAGCGCTTTGAGTGCCCAGAAAAGCGCTACAGTATATAAATGTAAGAACTTATTATTATTATTATTATTTATCCTCGTGCTCTGTTTTCTCGCTAGTAAAGCGTTCAGTTTATCCACTTACAAAGTCCGCCATGTAAATAGCAAATGCGCCATGACACGACGCAACTGACTCTTAAATGAAATGATGATACTCTTATTGGTTTAATGCATGTTATGCTCAAAACACACCCATAACACATAAAAAATAAGCACAACGCTGTTAGACCATGCACCAGGGTGCAGAGCGTGTTTTTCAGTCCTTAAAATAGCAAAAGTGGACATGCGCCTTAGTGCTTTTGACTTTAGACTTTGCACCTAGATCGTTAAAATACATCCCAAGCACTTTAACAAAGATGTTTTTTAAAGTCACAATGAGAAAATGAACAGAGAAAAACACTTCATTTTCTAGCACTGTAACAAGTAGTGGTATTTCTGACATGGATTAAAAAAAAGAAGATGCACACCTAAAAAAAATAAAAGAAATACATTGATAGCTAAATGCACTGGATTGCAATTTCTCATTTGTGTGCTTTAAACAAGTCAGATGCTTTTTAAAACAAATTATCTGATAATAATTGACTCATTTTATGGATGGAGCGCTAAGAAAGGGCTTTGTTCAGAAACTGGAAAACCCACAGCTGTGCTAGTTTTGAATATGTAACGTTATAAGCAAATATGCTCATTATGCCTGTTGGTGCTGTTGTGGAATCAGCAGGGCAAAAAGCGAGCAGCCTTTAAGCTTAACTTTCAGCCAAGCATGCAAATCAGTAGAACAAATGAATTGAATGGAATCATTGCAATAATGGGGAAGTTAGCGTGCTTTTGGCTTCGCTTAAAATGATTTTTAGGTCACCATATGGCAAGTTTGACAAAAAAAACAAAACAAAACAAAAAGTCTACATTTGTACTAAAATTGTGAGGTATTTTATAAAATGTCTATTATTCAATGTAAAAAAAGGGGAGAAAAAGATCTGCAACAAAGTGTTCTAAACGAGTCTGTGTTTTTCTCAGCTCTTTTTTGCCTTGGGCAGAAAAACGGCATCCTCTGGAAACATGAGATCAATCTGCCAACGATCGCCCCACATCCCATTCACTCACACCCACACAGCCGCTCGCCATCCATCAGCTCTCTGCTGCGTTTAGAGAGCTGAAGTTTCGTACACTTCATTTATAGCAGCGGGTTATTCTTAAGTGTGAAAAGGAGAGCTGCAGAGCACATGCCTAAAATAACTCCCAGGCCAAACAATGAACTTTCACAATCCCCTGGTAAATGCAAATTACATGACTGACAAACCAGCAACATGGTTCAAATATTTTTACACTGAACAGGTTGTCCGATAACACTCCAATCTATGTTGAGATGAGATCAAAATTATTAGCTCTCCTGTGAATTTCTCTCTCTTTTATATTGATGTTTAACAGAGCAAGGAATTTTTCACAGTATGTCTGATAATATTTTTCCTTCTGGAGAAAGTTATTTGCTTCATTTTGACTAGAATAAAAGCAGTTTTTAATTTTTGTAAAACCATTTTAAGGTCAATATTATCAATCCCCTTAAGCAATATTTTTTTGATTGTCTACAGAACAAACCATCAATATACAATGATTTGCCTAACTTAACTCCCAATTAAGCTAATTAGCCTAGTTAAGCCTTTATCTAGAAAAATATCTAGTCAAACATTATATGCAGTCATGGTAAAGATTTAAAAAAATCAATTATTAGAAATTACTTATTAAAACTAACTATATTAATAAATGCGTTGCAAAAATCTTCTCTCCGTCAAACAGAAATTGGGGGGAAAACATACAGGGGGCTAATAATTCTGACTCATTATAGGCAACTGCATATGCCTATAGATTGCCATCTCAATGTTACAGGTTTTTAAATGGACAGTTCATACAAAAATGACAATTCTGTCATCATCCTTTACTTGTTTCATACCAGTTTGAGTTTATGTATCTTTTGTTATGTTGAACACATTATTTTACACCATGTTGAAAACCTGTAACAATTGACTTAGTAATACCTTTTTCTACAATAGTAGAAAAGGGTATTGCTATGGAAGTCAGTGGTTACACGATTCCAACATTCTTTAATGTGTCTCTTTTTTTGTTTTCAAAACTGGCATGGAACAACCAGTTAAAGATAAGTAAATTTTGGTTGAACTATCCATTTAAACTGCAGTGACCATTACTATCACGTTAGCATATGTGTGTAAACGGTAATACTTTACTATAAGGTTTATTAGTTAATGTTAATTAATGCATTTACTAATGTGCCCAAACATTGAACAATACATTTACTACAGTTTTTATTCATGGTAGATACTGCAGCAGTTGTTCATTGTTAGTTCATGTTAACTCACAGTGCATTAACTAATGTTAACAAGCATGTACTTGGATGCTTATAATGCATTAGTAAATGTTCAATTATGATTAATAAATGCTGTACAAGTGTTGTTCATGATTAGTTCATGTTAGTAAATGCATTAACTAAGGAACCTTATTGTAAAGGGTTACCGTGTAAAAATATAGTAGGGCTAAACATTATATTGTTTCAGCATTGATATCGCGATGTGCGCATCCGCAAATTTCAAAGCGCAAAGATATGCAATGTCCAGTCTGAATTACAGTTGACCAGGAGCTACAGAATTGTATTTATATGGAAATATATGGTTTATGCAAAAAAATAATAATAATAATAATTTCTAACTTAGTTTTGTATTTTTACATTTCAATGTAAAAACAAGATTATTTCACTTCCCCCACTAGCAGAAAATTTGTTTTGAAGTTTTGGAGTTCTCTTTTTTTTTTCCCCAGTCAAGGAGGCTCGTAACTTGGTGCCAATGGATCCAAGCGGCCTGTCAGATCCATACGTGAAGCTCAAATTAATTCCAGACCCAAAGAGCGAGAGCAAGCAGAAGACCAAAACCATAAAGGGCTGCCTCAATCCGGTCTGGAACGAAGACTTCACCTTGTAAGTGAGAAATAAGTGAAAGTATGTACAGTGATGGATTTGGATGTAGACTGACATCATCCTGTGACCTCAGTGCCCTCAAAGACACGGATAAAGACAGGCGCCTGTATGTGGAGGTGTGGGATTGGGATCGGGGCACCAGGAATGACTACATGGGCTCCATGTCTTTTGGCATCTCTGAGCTGATGAACCAAAGTGTGGACGGATGGTAAGCACAGATACCACCACCCACACATGAAGCTTAATGTAAAAGTTGAGTTTCTTGCTCATAGCCAACATCGACTCAATTTGGGCTTCCCCACATATACAGCTGATACATGCGAAGATATGAAGATGACTTTTCACCATGGCATGATTAAAACAGTCAAACGTTCAACTGTAAATATCTAAATAGATCTTGGTTTATAAGATCAGACTAATCTTTTAAAGTTTGTAAGCTTTCCATTCTGCAATTCTTATGCAAAAATATGTACAAGATGAAGAGAAAAACCTATTGTTTAAATCTACGGCCTCTAGTCCCAGGTTTAAATTCTGGATCATGCGCCACCCTGATACATGCAAAGATATGCAAATGATATTTATTTTATACATGTAAAACTCAAATATGAACTTGTATGTCATGTGTGCTGCACATTTGATTCGAAATATTAAAATATTATAGGTGTATGTTCAAATTAACACATTAACATTATTATAATAAAAATATATATTAAAGTGACCAAGATTTCAAAATATATGTTGCATATGTGTAAATTTATACACTACCTGACAAATGTCTTGTCATCCATCCCAGTTGTAAGAGCAACAAAAATTACCTTGACTTCTAGTTAGGGTTGGGCGGATCTATACCAACATTGGTATTGATATCGGATCGATAGTAGCCTTCCGAGATCGATACTTTTATTTAAATTCTAAATATTTAAATTTTATTTGAATATTTAAATATCTAATTTACGCTAAAGTACATTGCTCCAGTTTTATAAAAGAGCGAACATGTCTCTAAATACCCTGTGCTCCTTTTATATGTCGTATGCATCGTTGCTTCTACTTGCTCTGCTGTTATTAGTTGTCCTTTTGTCTTGTGACTCAGCAGCGCCAAAGGCCAAGCACTTTTGGCTGTTCTGAGACGACAGAAAAAGAGAAGTGCTGTTTACAGTTATTTTAATGCAGTAAATTAAAATATTGAAACTGTTATGTTTGTAGAAAGTCTATTCGATACCGTGGCACCACAAATCTACACAAACACATAAAACAAGACAAAAAAGACAACGCCGAGCTGCAAAACAGGAGAGAAGAGGGGGCAAATCCTCCAGACAGACCACCAGCAGTGCCAGCCCTGAGACAGAGGTCACTGGTTGAGTCGTTTCAGAGAGGCAATGAATATCTAGGTTGCTAGCTACATTGGTGAAATTAATATTTAAGTTATATAGGACATTCAGTCTTAGTTAATGACAAAAAAAAAAAAAAAAAAAAAAAACAACGATTACTTGGTCATAGTTGAACTTGTTACTTTTATGTATCAGTATTGGCGATACTATCCCTGTATTCACTTGGTATTGGATCAATACCAAATTTTGCAGTATTTCCCAGCCCTACTTCTAGTTGATCATTTGGAAAAGTGGCAAGATTTTTCTGATGAATCATCTGTTGAACTGCATCCCAATCATCAAAAATACTGCAGAAGACCTATTGGAACCCACATGAACCCAAGATTCTCTCAGTGATCAGTCATGTTTGGTGAAGGAAAATTCATGGTTTGGGGTTACATTCAGTATGGGGGCGTGCAAGAAATCTGCAGAGTTCTCATACTTCAGCCTCCACATCAAACTCCCAGAAAGCAAAGAAGGTCAAGGTGCTCCAGGATTGGCCAGCCCAGTCTCCAGACCCAAACATTATTGAGCATGTCTGGGGTAAGATGAAGGAGGAGGCATTGAAGATTAATCCAAAGGGTCTTGATGAACTCTGGGCGTCTTATTACTATGTTCCTAAAACTTGGATATGTGACAAGACCTTTTTGTTGTTGTTAGTGGAAAACAACTATTTGGTTGTTAGTAATAGTTGGTGATGACAATAGTTATGACTCTTCATCTATTTGTTTTGCAAATGGACGATCAGAAACAATCAAACAGCAATATTGTATAAGCTCAGTTTGAGTCTGTCATCTTAATCTGTTTGTATTGCAGGTTTAAGATTCTCGCTTGTGAGGAAGGGGTCTTTTTCAACGTTCCTGTTTATGTAGATGAAGAGGAGGGCAACAAGGAGCTGAGTAAGAGATTTGAGGTGAAAAACTGAATACATCAGTGCAGTGTATTTCTATGCACCTCATTATATTTAGATGCACAATATGAAAAATTGTAAGCGGTAACTATGGCCAGTCAGAATCTGCTGACATTTTTTGCTATTTCTGCTGACAATTTTGTACAAAAATCTGAGAATTTTTGCCAAGGGTGGGCAAAATCGGTTCTGGAGGGCCGGTGTCCTGCATAGTTTAGCTCCAGCTCTAATCAAAAACACCTGAACATGCCAAACAGTGTCTTCAAGATCACTAGAAATCTTTGAGCAGGTGTGTTTGATTAGAGTTGGAGGTAAACTGTGCAAGACACCAGCCCTCCAGGACCGAGTTTGCCCACCCCTGATTTATGCTGAACGATTTTGGGAGTATTGAGGGTAGAATTGGGATTGGGCCAAAAGGTGGTGAAAAACTACATTTAAAACGGTCAGAAATCTGAAGCTTAGATGTTATTTCAGATTGATTTCAAATTGAAGTTCTCGACCGGTTAAAACACCCAATTGTTTTTTGTTTTTACCAATAATTTTAGAATTTTATATAATAACTATGCGAGTATAAATTTTTTTAAATATTACTCAGATTATTCTATGAACACACCCTAGATTTTTTAAATATAGTTTTCAAGTTGAAAGTAGAAACTAGATTTTAGTTTATATGATTGCTTAAAGAATTCTGTACTGTTATTCAGTTTAATGTATACTTCCTTTAACTGTATGTATAAAATCTGCACTAATTTTAAAGTTACTTCGCATTTAAAGAAAGCATGACATAAGTACAATTATTGTGTATTTTTATTTAGTACAAAGACATGTTTATGTATACTTAGCATAAAATAAATGCATTTCTAAATGCATTTCTATATATGTATTTATTTTTTAGCTTTTCTGACAATATTCTGACATGTTTTTTTTTTTAACTCTACAGAGAGCCAAGATTGGCCCGGGCACTAATAATACAGATGGCGCTTCAAAAAATGACCTCTCCAAATATGATGCCAATGGCAACCAAGACCGCATGAAGCTCGCAGACTTCAACTTCATCATGGTGCTCGGCAAAGGCAGCTTTGGCAAGGTATTAAGAAAGCATTCTCGTGGCTGAAGCTTATTTTTAAAAAGAAATGAATACTTAATTTCACAAAATTTGTCAAATGTGTTGCATAACATTTATGTTTCAACTGTTTTTAAACTCAGTAAAGGCTAAAAATCTTTTTAATCAACTCAATAGAACGATTTCTGCAGGATCATGTGACACTGAATATGTTAAAATGGAAAAATGTGATTATTAATTATTAATTTGTTTCACTGAATTTTTAAATTTTACCATTTTATTTCTCTTAATGTTGACATTGCATAGCATTCAAAATATTACAAAGATGTTTCCAAAAAGCTAATTTGACTGTCTCCAAGCTTAAATCAGTACTCTATGTTTAGCATTTAATTATATTATTTACAATGGTAAGAAAATTGTTGTCTTCTTTCACAACAGTATTTTGTCTCATAGTAATACACTTATTTATCAGTAAATACTTGAATATATCTTTTTAGAAAATCATCATAATCAAGTGATTGATGGATGGGGAGCAACAATCAGTGCACAGCCATTTCTCTCTAAAGATGTTCAATAGGGTTCAGGTCTGGGCTCTGGCTGGGCGTGTGAGTCTGAAATTTTAAAAAGCGTCCATTTTCTGCTGACATTTGAGTGCTGTTGAGCTCATTCTTAAACAGCGCTGATTTGCCATTGTGTTTACATGCTTAATAGAAATGATTATGATTGGGCATGAAGATCATCAGTTCACTGAGCTCACTGCTGTTTACTGAGTGTGAACACAGATACAGGGACACTGGAGTGTTTTAAAGCTGCGAAGATCAGCCAGCTCATCAGCGGATAGTAGTAATCGAGCCATAAAAGTTAGGCCCTATAAGGCCAGAGTCCGACAGGTACATTTTGATTGACAGCTTTTTAAAAGCCTGAACCTGTTTACAGCCCTGACATTATTCAAATGTGCACATGCACACAACTCTTTTACCTTTTTTTCAATAATGAGTCGTTTATATGTTTTAACATAATTTATTCATTACAAACATAGGCTATAGACCACATGGAAGTTGGAATAAAGAAATAAAATAAGTCCTCTGTAACATTGTAACATCTCAGCACTCTAAATAGGCCTAGATACATACACTTAGGCTTTAAATTGGCCAACACACTAATTAAAAGAAGTCTTTCTTAACCAATTAAATTAAAATAAATTCTAAATTATGAGGGGTAATTGGCCATAATGAAATTAAGATAAAAGGCTCTGCAAGATTTGTTTCACCACTTCTCTTCACAAACTGGCTTTAAGGTGATGGTGAAGCTGAATATTAAAAGAATAGCCTAATGCCAACATTAGCCTGTATACACTGTATACATTATGCATTTGTGGTTTAATTAATATTTATTTATAATTTAAAAACCATTTACTCACCAAGATTAGGCTACGGGTTTTTGTGGAGGAACATTATTGAATCCGCTGTAAATGGCTTTAGTGCAGTCCAGCGCTCACTGATGGTGGATCCAGCAGCACTGAACACACTTTCACAGCTGCTACTACAGGCCGAGATGCATAGTTCTGATCTGGCTAATTTTGCAATTTAATATAATTAATATATATATAATATATATAATATAAAAAATAATTTTGGGTAGGATTGTTTGTTCATCTTCTACCAGCCAAGAACACTCATTTCATTTTCCATGGCAGAAGTTTCAGTGTAGCGAGTGACCTCGTCATCTTCCCTGTCAGCTTGCTGTACATTACTGTTTAGCACTCTTCCATAATATGCTGTGTTGAGTGACCGCTGAAATCCCTTGTCGGCTAAAATGACCGTTCTTTTTGAACTGGAGGCTGTCCTGACTGCAGTCAAAATTCGCTTTTTTTGACTTCTCCGTCATCATTTGTTTCACCTTTGCAGGGATGGATTTGTAACAAGGAACTGTAGTTCTGCTGAGTGACTAAAAAGTGATCAGCATGATGGTAAAAAACTGTACATTCTAGTCAAACCATTGTTCTGCAATCTACCAAAAATGAAAATATGGACAATATTATTAGCTACAAATGTGGGAGAGTGTTGACATTATGTGATTGTATTATATTGCAATATGGAGCAATTAAGAGTTGATGCTGAATCAAAAGTAATTCACAAATACCTAAAAATGAAATGATGGTAATAATTCTCTATGGTTACAACTGAATTACATACAAAATAACTGTATAAAATGATAAAATATGAAATGATAAAAACATATGATAACAATTGTACCCAGCTTAAATGTAAAATTAAAGTTACCAGAGGTAGAAGGAGAGATAAAGAGAGCAAGATAGTCTCCAGATGAGGAGAGGAGCAGAGCAGCAGAGAAGCAGACCAGGGGGAAATGGCAGACCAGTGGCAGAAAAGAAGCAGTGCAGTGTTTACCACCTATTTTGTCTCTTTCTTGACCATGTGATCAAAGCCGAAATACTGAGACATTCAAACTGACCAATCAAAATCTTCTTTGGTGAAAAAAGACAAAAGAAAAAAGATTTGATTACTTTCTCGTGCTAATCGAAATGCATCACATGACATTTACTGTGCAAGCCAAGCCCAGTCTAACATTATAAAAATTAAGCCCAAACCCGTCAGGTCTCGTTGGGTTCAGGCAAAGATTTTCAGCTCTAGCGGATAGCTCGTAAGTCAGATCATAGACAGACCTGCTGATCTTTGCGGATTTTAAACCGTGCAGTGTCCCTGTATCTGTGTTCACACTCAGTAAACAGCAGTAAGTTTGGTGAACTGATGACCTTCATGGCCAAACACAATCATTTCTGTTGAGCGCATAAACACAGTGGCAAATCAGAGGCATTTCATCAGTCGCTCAACAGTGCTCAAATGTTACCAGGAAAAGGGACATTTTTTTAAAATTTCGGTACTGATTAGTGCCAAATTCCGCTATTGTGACAACACTAGTTGGCGGTTCATTCTGCTATGGTGACCCCTGATAAATCAGGGACCAAGCCAAAGGAAAAGGAAAGAATGAATGAATATTTTTAAAATCAATATTCAGACTTCAGTAATGAATCCTAGCTTGAATGCCTGTATTGCTGTTTTCTTTCTTCAGGTGATGCTTGCGGAGCGTAAAGGTTCAGACGAGCTGTACGCAGTGAAGATCTTGAAGAAGGACGTGGTGATTCAGGATGATGATGTGGAGTGCACCATGGTGGAGAAGAGAGTTCTGGCTTTGTCTGGAAAACCACCGTTCCTCACGCATCTCCACTCCTGCTTTCAGACGATGGTACAACATCGCACAAATCTGCTTCACATGCACATGGAAATCACATCAAAATAACCCCACAGGATGGTGTTTTTAATTACAGGACCGTCTTTACTTCGTGATGGAGTATATCAGCGGTGGAGACCTGATGTTTCAGATACAACAAACGGGAAAGTTTAAGGAGCCCCTCGCTGTGTGTGTATTCACTCCCAAACACATCAAATGCCTATATGATGACACGGTTAAAGACATAAGAGGATTTAAATCATATTTGTTATAATTATTTGTGACCCTGGAGCTCAAAATCAGTCATAAGTCTTCATTTTTGGAAATTAAAATAGCTGCATTATCTGGAAACTGAATAAATAAGCTTTCCTTTGATGTACTCTTGGTTCTAATTGGATAATATTTGGGAGAATATTGGTTAAGACAAAAATATTTGAAAATCTGGAATCTGAAATTGTAAAAAATGTTCTCAGAAGTGCATATTAATAATCAAAATTGAGTTTTTATATTATTTTACTTAATATAATGTTTTTGGCATAAAAGAAAAATCAATATACAATGTACAGTGCATCCAGAAAGTATTTATAGCGCTTCACTTTTTCCACATTTTTTTTGTCACAGCCTTATTCCAAAATAGATTAAATTCATTTATTTGCTCCACACTCTACACACAGTACCCCATAATGACAATGTGAAAATAGACTTTTTGAAATTTTTGCATATTTATTAAAAATAAAAAACCTGAAAAATCACAATAAATCTATATTGCACCCATATTTTGATGCTTAATTTTCATACAGTTTATTCAAAAGATGAATCCCGAAAATTGTATTAAATATGCTACAGTATTTGTGTATGGAAATACACTTTTGTAGATGTAATTAGATGCAGACACCATAATCTTAGCTTTATTTATGCAAGTCAGTAATTTAACTGATATAAAATGTAATTTTGTTGTTGTTGTTCACCATCAGGTTCTATGCTGGAGAGATTGCCATTGGCCTGTTCTTTCTTCATTCTAAGGGCATTATTTACAGGTGAATAGTTTATTTCTGACTTCCCTTATTATGACTTCTCATTGAGACATAACATAAATTCATCAATTAGAGGATTTAATATTGAGTTTAAATTATGTGCAGTTTTATTATACAAGCAGTTTTGTCAGCATTCCACTGGGGTGCATGTTTTGTGCTAGATGCTAGATATTTTTTGTGTATATATACAGTTGAAGTCAGAATTATTAGCCACTCTTTACATTTTTTTTCTTAATATTTCCTACATGATTTTTAACAGAGCAAGGAAATTGATAATATCTTTTCATCTAGAGAAAGTCTTTTTTTATTTCAGCTAGAATAAAAGCAGTTATTCATTTTTTAAAAACCATTTTAAGGACAAAATTATTTGCCCCTTTAAGCATTTTTTTCTTCGATAGTCTACAGCAGTGGTTCTCAAAGTGGGGGTCGGGATCCCCTGGGGGGGTCGCAGGACAATGTAGAGGGGGGTCGCCTGGTGATTTCCAAAAAAATTATTTATTTTTAATAAACCATTAGAATTACTTTTTTTTATCCATAACCTACTAAAGGAAAAAAATGTTGTTTATAGTTACATACTATATAGTTACTATAGTAGCTTATAGTTACTATTTCTTTTGGTTTGCGACCCCTGGGGTAATTACATAATATTATAGACACAGCAATAGCGTGAGTTTGCAGCAGATAGATTTTATGGCACCAGGTTAAACTTTCTGGCCCAAAACAGCACTGACATGCATTAAAAAAATTAAACGAAGAATAGAATTGGGTCTATTGGAGTGTGTGCGGGCGAGGCAGTGGCGCAGTAGGTAGTGCTGTTGCCTCACAGCAAGAAGGTCGCTGGGTCGCTGGTTCGAACCTCGGCTCAGTTGTTGTTTCTGTGTGGAGTTTGCATGTTCTCCCTGCTTTCGCGTGGGTTTCCTCCAGGTGCTCCGGTTTCCCCCACTGTCCAAAGACAGGTACAGGTGAATTGGGTAGGCTAAATTGTCTTTAGTGTATGAGTGTGTGAATGTGTGTGTCGATGTTTCCCAGAGATGGGTTGTGGCTGGAAGGGCGTCCGCTGTGTAAAAAACTTGCTGGATAAGTTGGCGGTTCATTCGGCTGTGGCGATCCTGGATTAATAAAGGGACTAAGCCGACAAGAAAATGAATGAATGAATGGAGTGTGTGCACAATTGCATGCAAGGTTTCTGTATTTATAACCACCTCAGAGGATAATGGGGTCAGGAGTCACTGGCATTGTCATTTTGGGGGTCACGGGCTGAAATTTTGGGAACACCTGGTCTACAGAATAAACCATGGTTATACAATAACTTGCCTAATTACCCAAACCTGCCTAGTTAACCTAATTAACCCAGTTAAGCCTTTCATGTCACTTTAAGCTGTATAGAAGTGTCTTGAAAAATATCTAGTCAAGTATTATTTACTCTCGTTATGGCAAGATAAAATAAATCAGTTATTAGAGATGAGTTAATAAATTATTATGTTTAGAAATGTGTTGAAAAAATTTGCTCTTCGTTAAACAGAAATTAAGGGAAAAATTTCTGACTTCAACTGTATATATAATTTATTTTTTTTATATTTATGAATACTACCTAAATAATGAAACTCAAAATGAAACCTAAGCCTTTATATGATTAGTATATGATTTTAAATAATGCATTTGAGAGCATATATTTACTGTGTGTTTGAGCTGTTCTTTGTTTTCTGGTTCTGTGTAGAGATCTGAAGCTGGATAATGTGATGTTGGACTCTGAAGGCCACATTAAGATTGCAGATTTTGGCATGTGCAAAGAGAACATGTTTGATAAAGACACAACAAAAACCTTCTGTGGCACTCCAGATTACATCGCCCCAGAGGTGTGTGTGTTGTATTTGGTTTTCATTACGTTGATTATTTATTATTAGTACCAGGATTTTTATTTATTTTTTTACCTTTGGGATACATTGTTTTAGTTCCCATCCTGAAAACACCTCAGATACATGAATGAAGTATTTTGAAGATGTAAAACTGCAGAATGTTTCATTACGTCTGTCATAATAATCAATATATCGACTTATCGTGCAATACTCGGAGATGACCTCAATATTTTTTGTTATTTAAAGTCATTTTACAGTGACATTTACATTCTATTTCAACTTGTCAAAGTTTATAATTGAACATTTCCCTAATAGAACACTAAATAGTCTATATAATTACGACATTTACGTTTTTAACATCAAATTATAGAATATAATTAATGTTATTGCTAAGAATGATCCGTGTTCATGGCTATTTGCATTATTATGCTGTTATAAAATCATAATATAATTAGTGGCATAAAATGATAGTGATATTGCTTATTGCAACAATTTCTGTGACAATATATCGCATAACAAAAATCCTTATGATGAAAGCACCTAGGTTTCATGAGTTAAAAGGGATAAAAATCATGATGTCCTTATATAACATGAATACCCATCATATGTTCATATCCTTGGTCAAGTATCGAGTGCTTAACAGGTTCGTACTTCTCAGTAATCCCTAGGTTTTGTGTTAAAATTAAAAAATCCTTGTGTTTTCATTGGTCGTGAGTAATATTAAAATTTTAGATATTGAATTTGGGGTTTTCATTAGCTGTAAGCCATAATCATCCAAATTAAAAGAAATAAGCACTTAAAATATATTGGTCTGTGTGTAATGAAAATGTATTGACCTTACTCTTCAATGCGGAAGAGTGCTCGTTTTTGCGATTGTTTTAGGACGTCCGATTCAGTTGTCTATGGGAGAAATGACTAGGAATAATAAACGGCAGAAAACGGTCAAACTACTTATTCTACAAACAAGTGTTTGCATGCTTATACAGACAAAGTAGAATAATATAATAATTCAATATTAGTTTGCAACATCAAGCAGCAAAATAATTTGTTTTTAACTTCTAAAAATGAATGGAAGTGAGACCAGGGCTGCGTCCGAAAGCGCATACTTCCATACTATACAGTACGCTAAAATCAGTATGTGAGCCGAGTAGTACATTCGAATTCATAGATTTCAAAAATCAGTATGCGAGAAGTACCCAGATGACGTACTACTTCCGTGGAGATTCTGAAGTGGGCATCCCATGCACACTGTGCTATCCCATGATGTCCCTCGAGAGAATTCATGAATTGGAGTGAAGCGACGTAACTGACGTAGGTAGGTCATGTGACCATGACAAAATGGCGGATGTAGTACGTCTGAATTTCATTCATACTTCTTACATTCATACTGTATAGAACGTACTTTTTTAACAACCGAGTAGTACGTTTAAATTCAAATGCAGTACCTACTGAGTAGTAGGCAGTTTCGGACGCAGCCCGGAAGTCTCAAGCCAAAAATATTCGAATGGCTGCGCCCGCTTGTACATGGAGAATAAGGTGAATATGATATAAGAGTTTCACTTTTTTAATTGAACTACTGAAATAAATCCACTTTTTGGTAAATTTGTAATTTGCTTGAGATGAGTGTGCAGTGTTTCTCAACCATGTTCTTGGAGGACCACCAACACTGCATGTTTTGGGTGTCTCCTTTGTCTGTCACACCCATTACAGGCCTTTCAGTCTCTGCTAATGAGCTGATGATCTGAATCAGTTGTGTTTGGTTAAGGAGAGACATTGAAAATGTGCAGAGCTGGTGGTCCTCCTGGAACGTGGTTGAGAAACACTGCTGTAATGGATATTAAAGTGAGTCTATCTTATTGTCCATGAGATATTAAGTATGCTCTTCTGTCCTGCAGATCATTGCATATCAGCCGTATGGAAAGTCTGTTGATTGGTGGGCTTATGGAGTTCTCCTGTATGAAATGCTGGCAGGACAGGTAAACTGGATGTAAATTTGTACCACAGTACAAAAACATTTTGGTAGTTAATCTCATTGAGGGGTTTTCTTCCTGAGAAGTCTGCTTGTTTTCTATGGAATCTCATTTCATTCATTCATTCCTTTTCCTTCCGCTTAGTCTCTATTTCTGAGGTCACCACAGCGAAATGAACCGCCAATTATTCCAGCATATGTTTTATGCAGGGGATGCCCTTCCAGCTGCAACCCAGTTTTGGGAAACACCCATACACACTCATTCTCACACATACACTACGGCCAATTCCGTTTCTTCAATACACCTATAGCGCATGTCTTTGGACTGTGGGGGAAACCGGATCACCCGGAGGAAACCCACGCAAATACGGGGGGAACATGCAAACTCAAATACTGTAGATCCGCTGTGTAAAACATATACTGGAATAGTTGGCGATTCATTCCGCTGGGGCGACCTCTAATAAATAAAGGGACTAAGCTGAGGGAAAATGAATGAACAAAAGTTTGTGATCTGTGAAAGCTCATTTCTGCCATGGTATCAAGAAAATTCTAATATTTTGTTTTCCTCTTTAGCCTCCTTTTGATGGTGAGGATGAAGATGAGCTGTTCCAGTCCATCATGGAGCATCACGTGTCTTACCCCAAATCCATGTCCAAAGAAGCAGTCGCCATATGCAAGGGGGTATGAGTTGCACAAGCTTCATACACTCTTGTCTACTTTCGCACACACTATAAGAGCTTTTGTGTTTGCAGCTGATGACCAAGCATCCCGGTAAACGTCTGGGCTGTGGACTGGAGGGTGAACGGGACATTAAAGAGCATGCTTTCTTCCGTTTCGTGGACTGGGAAAGACTGCAAAACAAGGAAGTTCAACCTCCATACAAACCCAAATCTGTAAGTAAAAATGCAGCTACATGTGTGTGTAAGTGTTTATCAGGTTACTGCACCACACACATCAATAAAAGCGCAGTGGTGTTGTTTTTGCACTTTCTGTAGTATATACACTCACCGGCCACTTTATTAGGTACATCTGTCCAACTGCTAGTGGACGCAAATATCTAATAAGCCAATCACATGGCAGCAACTCTGTGTATTTAGGCATCTAGACATTGTCAAGACGATCTGCTGCAGTTTAACCTGTACATCAGAAGAAAGATTATTTAAGTGACTTTGAATGTGGCATGGTTGTTGGTGGCAGAGGGGCTGGTCTGAGTATTTCAGAAACTGCAGATCTACTGGGATTCAGAGAGAATGGTCTGAAAATGAGAAAATATCCAGTGAGCGGCAGTTCTGTGGGTGCAAATGCATTACTGATGCCAGAGGTCAGAGGAGAATGGGCAGACTGTTTGGAGCTGATAGAAAGGCGACAGTAACTTAAATAACCACTCGTTACAACCCAAGGTATGAGGAAGAGCATCTCTGAACGCACAACAAGACAACCTTGAGGTAGATTGGTTACAGCAGCAGATGACCACACCTGGTGCCACTCCAGTCAGCTAAGAACAGGAAACTGAGGCTACAATTCACACAGGCTCACCAAAATTGGACAATAGAAGATTGGAGAAACGTTGCCTGGTCTAATGAGTCTTCATTTCTGCTGCAACATTCGGATGGTAGGGACAGAATTAGACATCAGCAACATAAAAGCATGGATCCATCCTGCTTTGTATCAGCGGTTTAGGCTGCTGGTGGTGCAATGGTATGGGAGATATTTTCTTGGCACAATTTGGGCCCATTAGTACCACTTGAGCATCGTGTAGACACCACAGCCTGCCTGAGTATTGTTGCTGACCATGTCCATCCCTTTATGACCACAGTGTACCCATCTTCTAATAGCTACTTCCAGCAGAATAACAAGCCATGCCATAATGCACGAATCATCTCAGACTGGTTTACTGATTATGTCAATGAGTTCACTGTACTCAAGTGGCCTCCACAGCCACCAGATTTCCATCCAATAGAGCACCTTTGGGATGTGGTGTTACTGGAGATTCGCATCATGGATGTGCTGCTGACAAATCTGAAGCAACTATGATGCTATCATGTCAATATGTAGCAAAATGTCTGAGGAATATTTCCAGTATCTTGTTGAATTTATGCCATGGAGGATTAAGGCAGTTTTGAAGGCAAAAGTGGGTTCAACTCCATACTAGTAAGGTGTACCTAATAAAGTGGCCGTTGAGTGTATTTTACCTGCCGCAATGAAGGATATTTTGTTATTTACGGGGCTAATTTTCAGAGATGTTTTTGTGACAAAGGTGCCTGCTCAGGAAATAAAACAACTCTTCTTGCTCTGCTCTTAAACCACAAAAACTCATGTGAACACAGATGTGTGAAGTGAGGCAATGGTTTGCTTTCACATTCAGAGACACAAATACTATTGAAAAGGCTTTTTTTAAGTGTTGTTTGATGCGGTCTCACCCTAAAATAAAAAGTTTCAGACATTAAAGCCACACCGGAAGGGTATAAATGGCACTTTTTTTCATGTTCTGTTGAAATTCTTGATTCTGATTGGCTGGAGGGTGTGCAGTAAAATCATGTAATGCACAGGTTTTTCCAGTCAGTTTTGATCACAGTAGAAGTAACCCTAGCAACTAGTAGTAACCCTAGCAACCCAGTAACAGTTGCCAGAGCCCAATTCATGCGTGCATCACCAGGGAGCTGATGTTGATCAACAAACTCACCAAAACGCTCAAAAATATTTGAGATTCAATATAAATACACTATATTTAGCAAAGAGGTAGATAACATTTGTAACTATGAGCTGTTTCAAGAGTTCACACTTAGATATTGCTTGACGCTATTAGCAGGTTTGGCATGCTGTCCCGGGAGAGAACCCTGAGCTTGGAGATATTTGAGCTCAGGGTTCCCACCAGGTCTTTTAGCATGTAAGAGGGTCAGAGATCAGGTAGGGCTCAAGAGCTCCACATAGTAAAGAAGGAGATGGGGTGGAAGGGAAGGGAAGATTCTTCCAAAACAAAGATAGTAGGCTTAGATCAATCCGATTGGATTATTACCGATTATTATAAATGAGAGACCAGCCGCGATCAATCGTATCATGTGCTCCTATCGAAATAAGTTTAAAAACTTCACTAAATATGCCAGTATCATTTACACACAAACTCTTTTTGTCTGCCTGTGATTGATTTAAACGGGATTAGGAGATAACTGAACTGAACTGATGTAAAAATGGTCAAATATTGCAATGCAAAGAACAGAGCTAGTTTTAACTTCAGTGCTTAATTTGTAAATGAATAATTTCCGGAACAAAACCAGGTAAAAGTTACCGTGATCGATGTCCCCCACACATTTTCAGTTTTCCCAGAACATGACATCGCTAAGCAGTTATAGCGGGGATAAAAGCATCAAATTTCGGAACGATCTTTAATTATTTTGTGTCATTTAAGGTTATGGGTCAACCATGGATAAAAAACAAACATGTAACAAGCGTACAAACTTAAATCTTATGAAATGTCACTATTCAGTTTACTAACACCACTGGCATTCGGTTCATTTCACTTTTATGTGGCCTCTTTGGCATTTTGAAAATACAAATATTATTTAGGTAGGCCGCTATGCCATTATTTATTTTCGTTGCTTATTGCGCACGAAACAATAAAAGCCAACCAATGAGACTGATTGTAAACCAAAAAAGCTGATTGGTCGAAAATATTGTTGTGGGCCAATAGTTAAACGTGACTTCTGCTTTAACTTGGGCATGCGGATTTTAAATGCATCACGTGGTTCTTTATCTCCAAGCGCATTTAAAAATCTTTTAGCAAATGAAAATTTGTTGATTTCTTTATTCATTTACTATTAAAAAAAACTGAGATGAAACAATCTAATATAGAACCAACACCAACTGGCTGCCATGTGAGGATATTTGTGGAAAACAGTGTTGTGTAACACAGGCTATTTATCTGTGTTGGTGGACATCTCAGGTTAGTCAACGAATGCATGTGACTGGTTAAGCGCAACAACAGTTTCGACACTGGAAGCACGCAATTGCACTTATCAACCACCTGAGAAACTTGCATAGTTTTGCTTCAAAGTCGCCATGAAAGGGAGGTTATTTGTCATTTTTTCCTGCCATCGTGACATACATCCACTTGAAACAGTCCTACAATGAGTATAAAATGCATGCAGGTGCATGATTTTGTTGTTTGGGAACTGATTGAATTATTGAAAGAAGGGTTTTGCTAACAAAATGAAGGAAGACTGACGAATGGGGGCGAATTCAGACTAGAAATGAGACTCCTATTGATAGCCATTTCCTAAAGGAACTCCATGTGACCAGAAGTGAAAAGTCATTTCGAGAGTGGAGGGAAGGTTATGGGATTATGAGGGCAAATGGTTTTTTACTTAATAACGAAGTGCTGAAATACAAAAACTTTTACAGGGATGCCCAACCCTGTTCCTGGAAACCTCCCTTCCTGCAGAGTTCAGCTGCAACCTTGATCAAATGCAGCTGTCTTTAATTTCCAAGTTCTCTTTCACATCATACTTAGTTGTTTTAGTTGTGTTTGATCAAGGTTGGAGCTAAACTCTGCAGGAAGGGAGATCTCCAGGAACAGGGTTGAGCACCACTGAACTACTTCTGTATATAAAAATGAGAAAAATATGTTTGATTTCATGGTGACTTTAAGTAGGAATGCGGTTGGTATTGTGTTGATTTTTATTCTGTTAGCAGTCAGCAAGCAGTTAAGGTAAATATTATCGAATTAGGCTGCATTTACACTGCAGATCTTGATGGTCAATTCCGATTTTGTGACTGTATCCGATTTTTTATTTATTTTTCGATGACCTGCTTACATCATCTTTTGTGATGATGTTTCTCAATGAGCAGGAAAAAAGAGCGGGCGCTGACTAACAGCTGATAATTAAAGAGTGCTCTTTTCTCTATTCCTGTATGTAATCTGTTCGCAGCTTTTGACAAGCTGTTTTACTATAGGTTATGACAGAAAGGTCTCATTTGTTCATCCTCTTTTGATACATAGGCTTTTTTAACCTTTAGGCATGTTAATGTAATGTCCATGGCGTAATTTATGCACGTGATGTAGCACTAGTTTTATATTAGTTTATATTGGTTACATGGCGGTCATTACGCTCTCTCACTCTCATTACCATGCTTAAATATCTGTGCTATATGATAATATAAAAGCTGTTTAGGTCCTCGTGTTTGAGATTTAAGGTTTGCGACTCTGCTGAAGTCTGTTCTGAAATGAAAGCATCAGACTTGACGTCATTCGCTACAGTTTTTAATGACGCGCGTCTCGCATTGACAGGTGAAAATCCGATCTACCTGCTTACACTGCAGACATGAGAACACAGATCCGATTCATATCGGATAAATTTCCACATATAAACAAGGCCTGAATCTGATTTGAGTAAATCAAGAACAAATCACATGGATTCCGCTTACACATACATGGGCCATATCCGATCTGTGCCACATGGGAGAAAAAAAAATCGGAATTGAGTCACTTGAACAGTAAATGCAGCCTTAATTACTTTCAGGTTTTACATGAAAAATGATGCTTCTCACAATCCCTCCTTTTCACCTTTTCACTTGTCATTAAAGGGATAGTTTACTCAATAGTTGACCGTATGCCCTTCTTTTATGCACTAACTAAAGTTTAGTACACTTCTCCAGTGAATAGTGACATGCATTGAGCTTAAATAAAGCTGAGACAGAGATGGGAAAAACTGGGCTGACATTGACTACCAATGATTAGGCCAATTTTGTGTTTCAGAAAGACTATAGCCAGCACTTAGCAGTTAACAACGTATAGGGAAAAACTGGAATATGAGAGAAAATAAGCTAAATACAGGATTTTCCAGAGAAAACAGGACGTCTGGTAACCTTAGTTATACACAAAGACCAGGATTTTTGTTAAATAATACATTAGATTTCAGCTATAAGGCGTAATCTAATACTAATATTTCATAATGCATTGATGGTTCTTTGTGACTTTGAAAAAAGCTTAATGCTGGATGCTTTTCACTGCCATTTATGTGGATAGGAAAAAGCACAACAATCAAATTTCACCTTTAGTTGTATTTTAAAAAAAGAAAGGCATACGAATTAATAAAATTGTATGAACTATTCCTTTAAATTGCAGATCACATTTTTCTGAATGCTGCACCTGGGGCCTCATGTACGAAGACTTGCGTGGAAATCTTACTAAAACATTGCGTACGCACAAAGCTGTAAATGTGCGTACGCAGAAAAAATTTCAGATGTATGAAACACTGCGTACGCCGAATCTCACGCATATTCTTTTGTACATCCGAATGAACGTGAAACTGAGCGCTACATGCACGAGCGCAAAACCCCTCCCTGCCTCCTCCCCCGTATGAATATGCTAATGACTATGCTAATGGCAAAACCCAACGAAAAAGCAATGGCAAAATCAAACAAAAAGAGAAACTTTGAACAGAATGTGAATTGGAGGTGCTGCTTTCGGAGGTAGAACGGAGAAAAGCGGTGTTATTTGCAAGTTTGTTCTCCGGAATTAACAACAAAAGAAAAAAATAGAGTGGGAGAGTTTAGCTGATACGGTTAACACAGTTGGGTCTGAACATCGCACTGAGTGCATTTACAAAAGAAATAGTGTGGTTTATATCTGTAAACTGTTGCAGTACCCTTTGCAGTCTCAGTGGCGCACCTCATAAGAAGCATATGATCATATACTGACACGTTCGAGCACAAACTCGGTTCGAATCCAGCGTCTGATGAATTCTTTCTTCTTTTTTTCCCGCTACATATCAGATTTTGCCCACTATTTATCACGAGAAAGACAAGTAGGAATCATTAATAAGTTTGTGCATCATATTTTATTTGCACATTTATTGAATGGAAATGTTTCTGATTCACGCATGCAAATTTATCTTCAGATAGTGTCTTTATAGCAATGTGCGTGCAGTAGATAGCTCAGATTACATTGGGAAAACAGGCGACCGCTGCAAATTGTGCTTTAATGTTTAGCTGGTCAACTGTATGGTATGGAAATCTTACATACCTACTATATGAACCCGTCTCATACAGCTGCCATTGCAAGGATCAGACACTTTGTAGAGAGGAATTTAACACAACTGCCTCTAGGAGTCGCCAATGGAAATAAAACAGACACGCACAAAAAATGTGCGTACGCCTGCCAGAAAGCTGCCGTGAAGGTGCGCACATTCCCACGTTCAGTTCATTGTTAGTAAATCCAAACGTGAGCGATTCTGAGCGTGAAACCTGGCGTACGCAAAGTTTTTGTGCGTACGCAGCGTTGATACATGAGGCCCCTGGAGAATAAACAACACCGGTTCATTCTGAAAATGTAGCCCTGTATACATTTCTGGAGATCGCGAATTATGTAGCCAGAAGTACGTATGGGTGCATTTTGTCTTTAAAACGAACGCTATGGGGCGGTATGACGCCGTTCCTTTTCGTGTTACCAGCTGAACGCTTACCTCCATATTGACGGCTTTCCCGCTGTTACCAGTTTGTCCAGTAGCTCTCCATGTACGACGGCAGACTTGAGACGCAGAGAGAAGTTGACTAAGATAATAGGGTCCGATTTCGGTAAAGAATGGCTCCAGAAAGCAGTTAAAATGAAAACAAAAGCCAAGAAATAAAATAAACAAGTAAATAACAGAGTGAGAATGTGGTAAAATCTGAAAATGTGGTAAAAATCAGGCGAGGGCTTTTCATTTTCTGCATTGCTTTTTAAAACTGTCGGTTGGGTTTTGGAAAGTGGGTGGGCTGGTCAATCTGTGCTTTTGAAAACACTATCGGTTGGGTTTAAGGGAAGGAGGACGGTGGGTCAGTCGATTTGTCATTCAGTCGACAGCAGCCTCTGGTGGATTTATGCGAGAACAGCAGGCGCGAATGGAAGAAAAATTTTAGATCTTACAAAGCGTACACAGTGGCCTCTGGTGGATTTGCGAAAACAAAACCTGCAAAATGTACATCCTGGGACATATTTGGCGCTCTGCAGAAATGTATATGGGGAATATTTCAGAAAGAGCCTGGGTTGAGAATAAATGTGTTCTCTTACATTGTGCAATAATTTGCAGCATCAGAAATATATTTCCAACACAGAAAATGATGTGCATGAACGCCACAGTATTTGAACGTATTTTATATATACAAGCTCATCATTTTCTGTCATTACACATTCCATTCGGTTATGACTATTATTATTCTTATAATTACAACATCTTTTTTAGTTTTATTTTTTTTTCTCAGCATATGAAGTTTCCATTTGTCATTATTTCCTCATTTCTTGTCATTTTCCCATCCCATATATCTCTCTTCTCTCGTCTTCTCCACAGTGCGGTCGAGACGCAGGGAACTTTGATCTTTTTTTCACTCGTCATCCTCCAATCCTGACCCCTCCTGACCTGGAAGTGATTCAAAACCTGGACCAAGAGGAATTTCGAGGCTTCTCATACGTTAATACAAAATTTGCATCGATGAAATCCAAGTAGCCAGTTTTAGCCAAGCACAATATATATAGGGACCAATGAGATTATAGATACTGAAATGACAGAGTTTGAATGAGCCAATGAGAGTTTGACCTGACTGTTGGAGGAACGGAGGTAATTTCTATATCTATATTGTTCTTCCTTATTATTTCTGGTTTGATTTAAAAAGGATAAAGGGAAGAGATTAAAGGAACTTGTAAATGAACTTACAAAGAGTTAGTGTGTAGCAAGATTTGGACTGTATACTTGTATATCATAGACTGTAGTCTAAAAACAACAACTAAAGTATCTGGGTGACTCTAGTGTCCAAGTCACATTTCACCCAATATTAAAAATAGAGATATAAAAATATAGTATGTAGATTTTATCTGTGCAAGAAACTGGACATTATTTACATTATTATTCATGATTTTATTTTCTTTAATTTGCCTGCATGTCTTACTTTTTAAATCTTATTTTATTTGTTGTGTTTTCAAAGTGCTGGTTGCTGTTAACTTTTATTTTATGAATCACAAAGAACCACATTTTCAGTTAAAAATCTTATATATATATATATATATATATACACACATTACCTGACAAAAGTTTTATCCTCAATCCCAGTTGTAAGAGCAACAAATAATAACTTGACTTCTAGTTGATAATTTTGAAAACTGGCAGAAGGTAGATTTGTCTGATGTATCATCTGTTGAACTGCATCCCAATCATCACAAATACTGCAGAAAACCTACTGGAACCCGCATGGACCCCAGATTTTCACAGAAAATCAGTCAAATTTGGTGAAGGAAAAATCATGGTTTGGAGTTGCATTCAGTTTGGGGGCGTGCGAGAGATCTGCCTAGTGGATGGCAACATCAACAGCCTGAGGTATCAAGACATTTGTGCTGCCCATTACATTACAAACTTCAGGAGAGGGCAAATTATTCAGCAGGATATAGCGCTCCTTCTTATACTTCAGCCTCCACATCAAAGTTTCGGAAAACAAAGAATGTCAAGGTGCTCCAGGATTGGCCAGCCCAGTCACCAGATATTATTGGCAAACATTATTGAGTAGATGAAGGAGGAGGCATTGAAGATGAATCCAAAGGTGATGAACTTCTTGATGAACTCTGGGAGTCCTGCAAGAACACTTTCTTTGTCATTCCAGATGACTTTATTAATCAGTTATTTTAGTCATTGCAGAGATGTATGGATGCAGTCCTCCAAGCATATAGGAGTCATACACAATATTGATTCGTTTTCCACTGCAGCATGACTTTATATTCTATACTGTACATTATTTCTGTTAAATAACAAGAGTTTTGTCTAAGCAAAGCCAGACCTTACTGTCTTAATTTAATAATGAAAAATCAATTCATGATCATAATTTATTTTAGTCAAATAAGCGTAATCTAGAGGCCTTTTATATAAGCCACTTCTGAGACCAAATGATCAACTAGAAGTCAAGTTAGTATTTGTTGCTCCTAAAACGTAGATAGACTTTTAGTGTGTGAATATACAGTTAGGTCTATAAATGTTTAAACAGCGACAAAATTTTAACATTTTTGGCTCTATACACCAACACAATGGATGAACAAGATGAGCTCATTGGACGGTGCTTCACAGTGCAGATGGAGAATGACCCAAAGCATACTGCGAAAGCAACCAAAGAGTTTTGAAGGGAAATAAGTGGAATGTTATACAATGGCAAAGTCAATCACCTGACCTGAATCCGATTAAGCATGCATTTTAATTGCTGAAGACAAAACTGAAGGGAAAGTTCCCAAAGAACAAGCAGGAGCTGAAGACAGTTGCTGTAGAGGCCTGGCAGAAAACCAGCAGGCATGAAACCCAGCATCTGGTGATGTCTAGAATGTGCTGACGTGAGACGTCTACTTTAGCCAATCAGAACAGTCAGATGCATTCACATCCACGCGGTTAATGAAAATAAAAGCCTTGGAATATTTTTCCAGACACACTTGGCTGCTAGATGTTAGTCAGATAAAGTTTCTATGTTCCTTCTTAATGCCAACCGTGTAAATAATTATTGATAAGATGCTTATGATAAGCTGTTGTTTGTTTTCCTTCAAACTTTGCTTCCTTCACTGGCTTTTGAGCGTCGCGTGTGCATGTGAAGCAGCCCGTGAGCGCCAGGACACACACATATCATGTACATCTCGACATGCGAAAGTGTTCCTCTATATTTTCATCGAAGCTGTTCACAAGACTTCTCCTCCATCCACAGAGTTTGTGATGTAGGCAAATGGTTACAAACACAAGCGAAGCCTTTAAAGGTAATTTCTGGTTAATGATGTCAGAATTTACCGGTATTTTGGAATGGATGTGTGAACGGTCTTTTCCGGAAAAATTCTGTAACATCTGTGCCTGTGTGAACAGAGCTTTTTTGAACTTGCCGTATCACTGTGTAAAAGGGGCTATTGACTGCAAAGGATTTGCAAGCAGGTGTTAAAAAGTGAAAGTTTGATTTATGATTAATCTTCTGTCCAATTATTTTTGGACCCTTAACAAATGGGAGGCACATATGCAAAGTGTTTCTGACACCGTTCATCTGATTTGGATGTAAATATCCTCAAATTAAAGCTGAGAGTCTGCAGGTAAAGCACATCTTGTTCGTTTCATTTCAAATCCATTGTGTTGGTGTATAGGGCCAAAAATGTTAGAATTGTGTCGATGTCCAAATATTTACGGACCTAACTGTGTGTGTGTGTGTGTGTGTGTTTATATATATATAAACCTGGACATGTCCTTAATGGATTTATGAAAATTATTCATTACATCTGATGTAATATATCTATAAAATATCAACTATATCTGCCAAATCTGTCTCTCTCCCTCCTACCAGACATGCACACACACAAACCATCCGCCTTAGATGAACCATTTACCACTTATTGATCGGGTTTACTGGGTCACCCCGTTTTAGTGCTTTTTTTCGGTTGGGTGTTGTACGTGTGTTTGTGTGAAACTGTGCCAAGTCAGAGATTAAAGTTTAGGAACTAATCATGCAGTGTGTAGTTTTCTCATAATAACCAAAACCAACTGGAAATGATAGTGACGTGACTACAACTAATGACACCTAACGAGAACATATCTTTTTATGTCATTTATTCTGCCAAAATCTGTGATGTATGACACTTTTTGACTTGTTACCTGTGCCTGGCAGTGTTTTGGATCAAAATGACTGTGAAATTACTGTGGACAGACTGTTTATATAGAGGAAAAATATATGAATATATGTATTTGGAATATATTACTGATCTCTCTGTCTATATTTTCCTCCTCTGTGTTTATTCTGCACACAAACGGTGGCAGAAGATATGCAGGCTCTATTTTAGGATGTTATATTATGGTTAATAATATATATACATATGCATTTTCTGGTTAATCTAAAAAATGCTACGCCAATTTATGAGATGCAGTTCATGTGTTAAAGTACAGTAAATACACTAATTAATAAAAACATTTAGATATATTTTGAGTGTTGTTTTGGCAAAAGTCTGTAACATTTGTAATGTGAAATTAGTCACATAATTTTGTGAGTTATAGTTGGGGAAAATACATGCCAAAAGTTTCTCGTTATCAATATAAAATATAATATTATGGAAATGGGCATTTTTTTCTGAATTCAGTTAGATAACTAGTAGAAATCCTTAAAGATTTAACTAACATTAAACACTATCTGTACATTTTAATATTTTAGTATCCTTAGGGAATAACCGCATAAATTTCTTTCAACAAAAAAATCTTACAGACCCCAAATTTTTAAAAGAATTGTATAATTGTGCCTTTTAAACAAATACCATCTCATTTTAATCATACAAAAATGCATTAACTCTAGGGTTGGGTAACAAAACCCAGTGCCATTAGGGCACCATTACCTGTGTGATCGGCATGTACCAGACCGAGTCAGCGTATGAATTTTGGTGCCTAATTGGTGCTCTAACAAAGACGTTAGAGCATCAAGGGGTACATCAAAGAGACACATTGGTACGCATTGTGCCACACCATCTCTAAACATTTATTTCTAAACAACTTTAAGAGATGCAGACACCTTCACCAATGTCAGGTGTTTGTTCTTGTTAAAAGTGCATGCTCGTAGGCAAAGCATGCAGTACAGAACATCCAGTGAGCGATCTCTTCAGATTCATCAACACGCTCGATCGCCGTCAATTTGCCTAAACCAAGTTTTCTTGTGTTCTAAAGTATGGCTATATTTTAAAAGCAATGATTCTAACACAGCAACGTGAAGCAGGTGCTTTACAAAAGTTGCATTAAGGAGGGAAACACGTCAAACTTAATGAAGCATTTGAGGGCTCATTTTAACTTTCAGGTTCTGCAGGTTGCAATATCTCGAATTTTGCTTGCCAATCTTAAGGCGATTGTAATCGTTTGTTTTGGTTTAATTTGGAATTTGCCCAACTAATTGCAGAGCCCCCCCAACCCCCCCCCCCCCCCCCCCCCCCCCCCCCCCCCGGTCCTTGAAAGCTCATTGAAATAACTTAAAGGCAGCTTGTGACATCATCTGGTATTTTCGCTGAGTACATTTACATAGACACTAATACTCTGATTTTAATATGATTAGGACAATACTCTGATTAAGAGTATATCATGTAAACACCAATTTTTGATTACTTTAAAGGACCACAGAGACCCGCATCACAAAATGCAGAGGTTTTTTCTTTCCATTCAGCATGCGGTATCAAATTCCATTAAAAACAACACTCTTCCACCAGTCCTTATTTCATATTCTCATCCAATACCTCAGTTTATCACAGGGCATGAACAATGAAACTGCGAAACTGCAGTTAAAGTCGAAAAGTTAAAAATGGACAACCTGAAATTACATAAAACTCCAGAGAAAATGCGGATAGTGTGGGGATGCAATGATGTTAATCGAATTATGTGCTATAACAAATGAAATGGAATCACGAAGGGAACATTCCAAAAGCAACTCATGTAAACACTTTAATCATATTAATGTCCAATTCAGATTAAGGCAAATAATTTGATTACTGAAGTTTATGCAAACACAAGCCCAATCCTAGAAATAAGGTGTTTTGATGACAACCTTTCCACAGGTTAGTGGTAAGCTAAAGTAATGTAATGTTAATTGCTTAATGCAAAAGTTAAATTCATGCTAATAAACAAATGATCAAAATAAGGGGGGGGGGGGGGGTCTTCAAAACGAAGATGGCTGTGATAGGGAACTTAGGGTATTTATAGTGACTTAGGAATCATCTGATTGGTGATTCATACATTGGACAATGCGGGACCAGTCGCAAGCAATCATAAGCACATGATCCTCTTGAAATAAAAACTTCACAAAATATAAATTGATATAAACTGTAA